TGTAGTTCTACAGTTACAGACTGTAGTCCATCTATTTCTCTGCATAGTTCATTATCCCCCTTCACCCTGTTCTTCAATGGCCGGAACCCCCACAGAGCAGGTACTATTTGGGTAGTGGATCATTCTCAGCACTGCAGTAATACTGACGTGGTGGTGTGTTAGTGTGTGTTGCACTGGTGGTGCGAGTGGATCAGACACAGCAGTGCTGCTAGAGTTTTTAAACACCTCAGTTTCACTGCTGGACTGAGAATAGTGGACTAAAAACATCCAGCCAACAACGTCCTGTGGGCAGCGTCCTGTGACCACTGATAAAGGTCTAGAGGTTGACCAACACAAACTGTGCAGCAGCAGCTGAGCTATCGTCTCTGACTTTACATCTACAAGGTGGACTGACAAGGTAGGAGTGTCTAATAGAGTGGACAGCAAGTGAGCAAAACTCCAGCAGCACTGCTGTGTCTGATCCACTCGTACCAGCACAATACGCACCAACATACCTGACAATTGAAAACAGGGGGCTAACAGAGTATGCAGACAAACAGATGGACTACAGTTTTTAATTGTAGAACTACAAAGAGCTCCTATATGCTCAATGGAGTTGATAAGATGGACAAACAGTGTAGATATAGGGTGGTGGTTTTAATGAATTGGATGGTGGCTGTATGGGCATATGAGTATGGTATTAAGACAGATTTGAAACGGATACTATAAAGTTACATAATGTATGGCAAATAACAGTAATGGACAGATTAAAACATCAACCCTACATAAAAATGTGAAACAGTTTGTGCTGCCATATTTTACAAAAAGTACTATAATGTACTACAGAGATAAATGTTGGACGAATTAATGATTTCATGTTACCGTTGATTATGGACACTCCTGCCAGCAATATGTTAAGTCCTTGGTTAGCCACCATGTAGCATGCCACGTCAACATTTTCCCCACCTTTATCTGACCTTACACGAGACAGCATGCCATGCACTTCAACAGTTTCTAGAACTGTTGCTGCACGATTGTTAGTGGCGGCACTCAAGTACATGATGACACGGCTAAAGCCATCAATACCACCATGCACAACAATACGGCATCTGAAATAGATACGTATGGACATAGGTTAAGAGCGATACCACAACTTGTATCTTGCATCTCTGTGTGCAAGCTTAGTGTGACACATAGGTCTATCTAAACGGTCTAAATTTGATATTCTTAGTAAACATAAATATAACATCCCTCCCAAACTCACAAAATAAAAATTCTAATTTCCCACTTTTGTGCTTTTACTCAAACATTTTGTATATGCAAAGAAAACAATGGTTAAAGTAAAGTGATGACTCCAAGTTTTAATTCTGGGATTTTCAAATCCATACTGCGTCAACAGTGTCAGAGTCCTAGTTCTTTTCTGCCCTTGACAAAAAAATACAATTTCTACACTGTTCAGCTGTTGTGAATGTAAGCAACCTCAAATTAAAACTGCAACATTAATATTTAAAGGTTACTGTTTAATTTTAAATTTAAGAGTCCTATGTTAAAGTGTATCACTATTTAAAGACTTTCCAACTGAACTATACAAACCATTTTAAAAAGGCCTAGCTAGATCGCTAACATTCTTCAAATACCTTATCAATTTGTGAATGCCGTCAATGTGCCACAAACTGTTTGGTGCTTGTACAAAGTACTTCCTTCGCCTTTGTGGGTTCAGCTGAAGGGTGCGCATCAAAACTCCATGAGGATCCACACACTGCATGGATTCCTGTACATGCTGTCCTAAAATTTGCAAAATAGAACACAGAATTAGGTGTACTCAAAAATCAAGTTTCCCAATCAACTTTTTTTTTCCCGCATTGTTAGTAGATCAGCAATTAGTGCAAATCCCAACCTGTTGGTAAATTAAATCCAGACCCAATGAATGACTACATGATTATATTGTCATGACTACAATCACTTACTTTGTATGCGGATGCCCTGTACATTCAGGTGCCCAACCATCATTTTGTATCCACAGCTGGGATGGTGCTGCAGAATTTGGGTCACAGTTTCATTCAGATCGTTGTCTTCCATTGGAGTTAATAGACTGTTGATACTGATCATCAAAAATATAGTCAACATAACACAAACATGACCACAGCACAAACAAAACACAATGATCACAAGAGCTCAGTTGCTCGGTCACTAGCTTAGCTGTAATTAAAGGTTTATCATGACTTTAAATCTGTGCTGTCTGGGACAAAAACCTCAAATTAAAACAAAAATACTTGGCCTCTTAAACCTCATGGTTTAAGTTTCTGCTGTGTCCTACAGAAATTACATAAATGTAACAGCTTACCTTAAATGAGGTTATCATATATGCATGTGTATGAGGTTGAATTTAAACCAAAGCAAATGAGGTTAGGACAATTTTATGGCCCAATATAAGAAACAACAAATTTTCTTCAATGGACATGAAAATGTACAGCAAGACAACAGCCACTATCCTTGACTCTCAGGAAGAAAAAAAGAGGAGAGAACTCCCTTCCAGGATGAACAAAACATGCAATAGATGTATGATCAGAATAGACCAAGATAAGGTCATAGAGTTCAGTATAACTTTTTCTGAGGAGAGACTTCAGATTTTTTAATTTGTAAAAGTTAAAACCTTTCACAGTGTATGAGTTTATGAACACAACAACAACGTAAGTGTTAAACCAATGCTACTGAGTATGAAAAGTTCTCAGGGATGCCTCAGGACTAAACTATGAACTAAAGCACAAATCCAGTACGTTAGGCCATTTGAAAATATTGAAAATAATTTTTGTAACGTTAATGATTGTGCAAGCACGTATTTAACCAGTGATATTTCTGTTTCTACCTTTGCAGTAGACATATTGCGTGCTGTACTGTAAAATCTGGAAAACAAAATCTACTTGCTTCACTACTTTTCTAGAAATTTGCACAGATATAATAGCAATTACATTTTCAGCAAACAACAAAGATGAAGTAAAAAGGAGACAGACTGGACAAACTGTTGGGTGTTAATTACATTATCCCATACCTTGCCATCCTCCAGCGAATTGTTCTCTCGCACACTCCGAACAGCTGTGCTATCTCCAGCGGTGTGGCCCAAAAGGAGGTGAGCCTCGATCAGTTGGAGGCAAAATGTAGGATGGACGTCCAACTGTCGCTTCCTCCGTCTCTGAGAGATTAAGTTGGCGGGAGACTTCTTGAAGACGGTCTAACACAGTTAGGTCAAGGTTCTCATCCATGTCAGCACGGAGCTGAACAAAACCATCCATTAATCTTTCCAGACGAAACAGAAGGTAGTCATCTGGTGCGTGATTCTCAAAATCATTCGCTAATGATCTTAAATCATTAGCAACGGCTCGTAAAAAATGCCATCAGCAATACAGGACTACACAAAATTAACGAATGCCAACAACTTAAGTGGCTTATCTAGCTGGGCAATCCGGGCAATGCTACAGTGAACCAGAAAGCAGCTACTGGAGGCCAAGGACCTCCGTGAAGTTGGCGGAGATAGGTAGGCCAAGGCAGTAGTAGCAGAGCCAAACCGATCTCACCTCTTTAACCAGTCCTGATTTAGAGTGAGGTTAGGACCGCCTACCTTATTAACATACAGATACAGAAATACAGAAATAAATAAATGTAGAAATGTGGAAATACATAAATAAATAAATGCAGAAATGTGGAAATCAATAAATACATGTATAAATACAAAAATAGCCCAAATAAATGGTGATGTATGGAATGTAGAAAGAAATTCAAGACATTTATTCAAGTATGCCCTTTTTCAGGAAAAATATTTATTCATTTATTTATTTATATATTATTTATTTGTTCATTTATTTATTTACACGTCATTTTTAGTCCTCCATACAAGAACTGTGTGTGTCCATGGCCAAGCAGCTGCACACAAGCCTAAGACCACGATGTGCAATGCCAAGCATCGGCTGGAGTGGTGTAAAGCACGATGACACAGAACTCTGGAGCAGTGCAAACGTTTTTTTTGGAAGTGACGAATCCTCCCGGAACGCGCAATTCCAAAGAGACAGCAGTTATGTTTAGTGGAGGAGAGATAATGGTCTGGAGCTGTTTTTCAGGGTTTGGGCTAGTTCCAGTGAAGGGTCATGTTAATTCTGTGTTAATGTTAATGCTAATGTTTTTTTGTGCAGGATGTCATTATACACACTGTATTTTGAAATAATTCAACTTGTCTACAAAATAATACTGTTCAACAGATACAGAAAGTGTGGTAACTGCAATGTACTTCAGATACTTTATGCTAATAATATTACACCGATCAATCGTTGAGATGTAAACAAATTCATTCAGAGCGGTCTGACGTGAGCGGTGCATTGTAGAGAAGCTTAAAGGCGTTGATGGGATCCAAGGGTGATGTTAAAAAGTAAATTTTAGGCTAAAATGTTACCTCAAGACTACCATTAGTTTTGACATACAATATATATATATATATATATATATATATATATATATATAGTTGCTGTTGGAAGAAATCCTTGTATGTCCATTTTTGTCATAATTTGAAAATGCCTACTGCCCTTTACATTGTCTAAATTTCATGATGAATGGACCAAAAGAAATGGCCTAAGATGACTTGGAAAAAAGTCTGGTTCCATTGACTTACACTGAAAGTAAAGTGGGTTTTTTCCTTTTTCTGTAATGTTATCATTTTGGAGATACAAGATTTTCTTCCAACAACAGCGATATATATATGTATGTATATATAAATATACACACACACACAATGTATATATGCACACACACAATGTGTAAATGTGTACATATATACATTATGTGTATATTTATATATACATATATATATATCACTGTTGTTGGAAGAAAATCTTGTATTTCCATACATATATACATTGTGTGTGTGTATATTTATATTCATACACAGTTTATACTGCACAACATGAATTTCAGCTTGTTCAAATGTCGTGCAATCTGAATACGCACCTTTTATGCACCATACACAAGACAACATAAAATGTCTACTAATCTCGTTTTTAATAATTCACATGTATAATTCATACAAAAATGTTTTCTCAGACAGAAAAGTGATTTTTATTTTACATTCATTAGTTCCACTTCCAGTAACTATATCACATGTTGACTGGTTGCAGTCCAGCCAGAACCAGTACGAAACATGGACTGATATTCCAGAGAAAAGCTAGGTTAAGTTGGGTATTTGCTGTGGATGTTTGTACATAAAAATATACAGGTTGCTTTCAACATAGTGATTATTAATTAAAAATAATTAAAAATAATGTTTCCAGTGTGTGCTAAAGTCACAGGATGTAACACTTATCTGCATTCTACAATTTCAGAGACAGTATTTCCTTTAAAAAGGTTTCACTTATAAACTGTTACAAGTATAAACAAATCAACATTCTGCCGTTCATAATCAAATTTCAGAATTTTCAGAACATGCTCTCATGAACTGCACAGGAAGACACCCAGGTCACGCACACACATGCACATTTGTGTCATTCTTTCTTTCTCCACAGTGCTTGAACTTGAGCTTTTTATTTTTTTGGTTGGTTGACCAAAAGTTATGAGGAACTACACGTTTCTGAGTATCACTTCCACTTTGCAAGTGATTTAACTCACTTAAAGAAAAGGGAACAAAAATTATTTTTAAATTAAGCAAAGAAAAGACTAAGACTAGGATGGTTATGCTTAGTACGTGAATCTCACTGTATTGCTGTCAAATACTTGTTTACAATACTGGTCACACTTCTGGAAGTTCTGGAAGTGCATGTGAATACTGAGACAGAAAGCACAGATTTGCATTGTAAAATACACACAAACACACAAAAGAAAAAAAAAAAAAAGCAATACAACATTGTTAACCTGATCCTAATCGCACAAAGTATTGTCAGTCATAATCACAGTGTTGGTTGTCATAGGCTGTGTCACTTGAAATGGTAGAGGCATTGGGGTTTTGCCACTTCAGTGTTCATCCTTTTCTGTGGTATGGAAGTTTCAGAGTTAGTGTTCTTCAGATGGGATATAGCTAACGTCCACCAAAACACAGCAACAAACCACGTGACAGACTCATGATGTGAGTTGAAGATTATTCTTCTTCATCTACATTGAGGGAAATTGATTCACCTATGACTAATCCTTGTCAGACATGTCCATCATTTTCCTCAAAAAAATTCTAGAGTTTCACACCACCTGTCTGCAAGGAAATTTGAATTCAGGCACACAAATGACATTTCCATTTCCTGTAAAATAACACTTTTTTCAGATTTAACAAAAATTGTCTTTCAGAAGCTTTATAAAGGGAAGCAATTCAAAAAAGAGGCCCTTCAGAGGAAAAAACGACAATGTGAGCAGTTCATTGCATCCTTCATTACATCCAAGAACCCTGTTCAAATTCTACTTTAACTATGAACTAACATAGTTTACGATATTGTCTGTAGATATGTTGATATTATTCTAGCAGCTCTTGGTAATTTCTCCAGCTGAGTAACTGCAAAAATGTTCTCACTCCCTGTCCACAGTTCAGAAATTGTCCCTTGACAGTGTTTAAAAATGCATATTTACATTTATAAATAATAATCAAAAGCAGTCTAGAAGCACTTAAATTATTGTTGCTACCTAAGTGCTGGTGATTTTCTTACGTATTTCCAGAATGTGGGTAGGTTATTTAGTGTGAAGAAATACATTGGGTTCATAAGGGGGAAAAAAGGCGGAATATACTCAGGATAGTGAACAGAAACAGTTATGTCCAGCATTCATAATAATTTGAGTGTTCAGACTGTGGTTAAGTGTAGATATGTAGTGTCCTGACACAGCCAACAATCAGATGTCTCCTCTTGCAGTCCACTAAACCGCACAGCAACAACCACATACAGCCTACTTGACAATCTTTTCTGTGTATGTTTGTGTGTCTAAAAAGAGTCATCTCAGCGCAGCCAGGAGGAAGGAACCCACTGAGGCTCAGTATCCAGTTTATTGATGAGCCGCAGCAGCTCCTGGTAGGCCTTGTCCTGGTCAGTGTTTACTATGGTCGCATCAAACAGGTGGCCAAAGTTCTGCTCCATCTCCCTGGCTTTCTCTATGATGTCCCTCAGCTCCTCAGGCTTTACAAAGAAGACACAGCAGAAGACAGCATTACAGCAAGACTACAATGTATTACTATGATGTAATTCAAAACAGTTTTTCATATGGCTAACCACTTATGGAAGATGGAGGACACAAAAGCCATTAGTTATAATTTATAATGTTCATGCTCTTCCACTGAATATTATACTCTTAAAAGTAAAAGTTCAGAAAGGGTTCTTGGTGTGGGTTAGTTACTTTGACTTTCTGGTTGCTGACTCATTTCTCGTTTGATGACTTTCCGGTTGCTGACTCATCTCTCGTTTGATCTCTCTGTAAGTCGGGCTTGGGTTGTTTATATAAAAAGATGTCTATATTTAATTTGTTTGATCAACAGATATATTTATATTGTTATATGTCATATGATCTATGTACCGAAGGAACTTTAGGATTAAACATGTGAAAGCTGGCATCATACTATTTTAGCACCGCAAATGATGAGAACAGTTTTGTTGCATGGTTAAACCAGCATTACAATTAAAGATGTGAAAAAAATGTGAAAACTAATCCAAACTGGCTTATCATCACCCATCTTTCTGAAGATCAGGTCAGTTTCATGGTGATGTGGTTGGGGTCATGTTGGGTCCGGCAAAATTTTGTTGGGCCTGGGTTGGATTCGGGTTGGGTTTGGGCGCGTTTGTTTTTCTTTGGACAGCTAGCTGAACCACATTAAACTAGTTAATGTGGTTTGGTTTGAGTCAGACAATTTCAGGCCTGATTATATATCATAAGATATACACTCATATCTTATTCATTTACAAAAAATATTGTATAAAGAACCATTCACTGAAAGGTTCTTTAGAGAACCAAAAGTGGTTTTCATATTCTCCTATGGCATTGCTTCAAAGAACTCTTTCTAGCACAGTTATTTCTAAGAATATAAAAAAGCCAGTCCTTGGTTCGAACCCCTTAAGACCAGGAAAAAAGATTTCATTTACCTTTGGGTTCTTGGTTTCTTTAGCTAAGAGGGCACGCAGTCGTTCCTGGGAGGGTGGTGCAATAAAGATGATGTAGGGCTTCAGGTCCGAGCTGCGCAATACCTTCAGAGACTACGGAGGAGAGTTGACAGTCACTAATGAGCTTAGGCTACATTACAACAGGTTCAATGTAAGTGTCCTTTCTTTATCCATTCTCTCTTTTACCTGAGTGTGCAAACATAAGAGGCAGATTTTGCCACTATTGATGAGCTGTCGCACTGAGTCTGTGCTGGTACCATAGAGGTTCTTCTCAAACTCTCCAGACTCAATGAACTTTCCTGCCATAGTGTCCATCTCAAAAGACTGGCGAGACACGAAGTGGTACTCGCGACCGCTCACCTCTCCGTCCCTTCGGTTCCGTGTGGTGTCTGTTAAGACAGCAGTCTGTTACTGGGGCCATTAGGAATGCAAATATAGCTGGATATTACTTTATACTCAACTGGTGATGCTGACTGCTTAAGCTTTGGTCGTAAGCACACGTACATAAAATAGACTCAAAGAACAGCTCCGGCCAACTGCTAATAATACTGGTAAATAAACAACGAAACACAAATATATGTACATGTACACTTATGCCTGATTGAACTGCTGTAGTCATTTGTATAGAAAGAGTAAAGATGAGAAAATAGAGGCTATTGTACATTAATGTGCTAAAGTCAGAGACCACCCTTTTGTTTATTATTTTTTTTTGGTTCAGATTGCTTCATCCTGACGGGAGTTACAACAGAATATTCGGGGCCTCTTTCGAGTGAATCTCCCTGTATTTAACAGGTAATTACATAAAAAGCTGCAAAAGTACCTATCAAATATATCAATATTTAATTTTTAGTTTTTCTGCACCTTTCTGACACTTCAAATCTCCCATCTTTCCAATCTTAAAACCAAAGAGTTATAGCTGTGTCCTCCCAACAACAGGTCTCACTCAACTTGCAAGACTGAACTTTGGAGGACAAATATCCCTGCAAATATCCTTGCAATTTCTTTGCAGAACTGAAAATAATTCTCCTGAATACAACTGAAGCCGTAATAAAGGGAAGGTGTGAGCACACTAAAATACTGGAAAAAAGTATATTATCTATTTTATAGGTCCCAAAATATTGGCTCTGACAGGAAAATCAGGGCTTTAAATTATTTACAGTGCACTTGACAGTCATCAATGGTTAGTACTCACGAGGAACTGCGCCTCCAAACCGGTCAGGGTCACAAGACAGGAGTCTTTGTCTTAGCTCATTCTGGCCGCAGTTTGGAGGTCCAATGAGAGCAATGGGCCGCTTGCGATTGGCTGGCTGATGGTATAATGCCATCTCCTCATAGGTAAGAATCTCCTCAATGTCATAGTCTGAGAGATGCAGAGAGAGGTCAAAACAGAATTCATTATGTTAAGTGTATTTACATTTGAGAGAGCCCATTCTAATTAATGGAAAAAGCGTGATTATTGTGCCCTCATACGTAGGCAGTAAATAGCTCAGGGAAACAAATTAACAGCAAATCAACCTGGGTAGGTGTAAGTCTTTATACTAGGATGGTCTGTACCCTTATACCCAACACCTAGACCAGGGGTGCACAATCTGAACCAAGTGTCCTGGTGGGCTAGTGCCCAGCGTGGTTTGGTAATTTACCTGCTCAAGTACACCTGTTTACCCTCATCTGTTAATTGCCAGGTTGAGTGGGTGTGTTTGAACAGGGTAACCACCAAACTGTGCTGGATACCGGCCCTCCAGAACCTGAGTTCTGCACCCCTGACTTAGACCTTGCTGTTATACACCTGAGCAACGCACTTAACAAGGGGCGTTATAATATGCCACCATTAATTCTAATCACCAATGACTTTTATGCAAATAAAAGCAGAAAGGCACAAATATAACAAAACTTGCGTGTAAGTATTAAGAAAGCATGCATTTTGTGTTTTACAAGCTTATTGATTAAACATTCAAAGCAAAAAGAAAAATGACCTGAGCTGACTCACCATCGTTTTTGTTTGCGTTATATAGCAGCTTCTTCCGCTTCTTCTTGTTCTTTTTTGCACACCACAGTTTCCCTAATGAATGGATAATGTTGAGAAGTCATCAAAATTCAGAACAAAATCATTGTACTGGTAGGAGAGTGACTGGGTGAGTGGAGTTGGGTATGGGGGTGTAGCAGCACTAACCTGATTTCTCAGGCTCTTTATCCTCCTCTATTGTTTGTTTCATGGCTTCTCTTTGCTGCTGAAAGCTCTTGCCTAAATAATGTAAGAAAAAAATTGCAAATGTGTTTATATATATATATATATATATATATATATATATATATATATATGTTGCTGTCTCAGGCTTTTAACTTGAATATAAAAAGTATATTTATTTATTTACTGCCTCTAAACACAAATATAATAAAAGAAAAAAATGTAGCTGCCCCATGTAGATTTCCCAGGTTCCACAACCACACATAAATTTATCCTCTCTTACCTGGCACAAGGCCTGCCAGAGGCTGGTTCTCTTCATCTCCATCTCTGTAGGCTTGCCACCAGTTGGGGTCATCCTGGCTAATGATGTGGAGTATGTCTCCCTTTTGGAAGCAAAGACCCAGTTCTCGGCACGGTATGTATGGGTCATCAGAAGGATCATAGTCAAAATGTGCCTTCACATGAACCTGGGTGTAGATAAAATAGGCAGAGAAAAAGTGAAAAAAGAGGAGGGACTTATAGGCCAAACTTTTCAATAGTTAAATAGTCCACATAAACCACAGAACTTTCCTAAGTAAGAAAAGTCCAAAGTTTCAGTTGCGCTATAACTATGTTAAGGTATGGTATGCAGAACTCACCACAGTCTCTTTAATGGGAGGAAGTTTAGTCTGTGGACTCGGGATCAGAATGAAGGTCAATGTGCCGTGCATCTCTGCCTGAGGGCACACAGATCAAACACTTGGTAAACATGGGTCTGTATTAAATTTTCTTGTAAAAGTCTTCTTGATGATTTTGTATCCTCAAGGTGTTCTGCAATTCTAGTGCTCCATTTATGTCTTCATCTAGTGCTGCATGGTACGTCATATAATCCGGCACTCGCATCAACACAGATTTTAACAGCTGAAGCTTATAATTCATGCAATTTTTGGGTACTGTGGGTTTTGAAAGAATAGTTCAAAATACAAATAAACAAAATGATAGTCCGTCTTCGTCGAAATACGGTCTCTGTCTAGTTAATGTGTAAGTATGAAACATAAGCAGAACAGAAAAGAATAGACCAATCAAAATAAGCCATGCTAAAGTTGTAAGACATTCTTATAGCAGCGTACTCTGGAAGTGTGGGCTTAATAAATCTAACTAGTTGCAGCTATTTAATATTTAATTTTTGAATATTCTGTTGAATATTATCTCAAATATTCTAGAATTCAACAGGAAAAAGCAAATAAAAATTCAGTTAAAAAAAAGTGTCTGCCAAATCTCTACTGCCAATAGCAAATGTGTGCTACTGGGGAATGGCTTTTGCACTTTTTAATATTTTAATTATCAAATTTATTAAACATTAGGGAAATAATTGTTGTAGTCCTAGCTAACTTTTGAATTTTATCCATTATCACCCAGCATTATCTGCATTCTAAGAGCTCTCGCCACTTACCAGAATATCAAAAACTTCATTGACATCTTTGCCACGGATCTCAACTCTGTTGATCTCCAAGATCTCATCCCCTTCATGTAGCAGCCCACTGCGCTCTGCAGCTCCACCTTTTACAATGCGACTGATGATCACACTGTCCATATCGTTCCTCACAGTAGCTCCCTACACACACAAATACATCTACTGTATCACTGAGGATCAAGAATGGAGAAGACTACAATGACAGATTGAGGAGCACACATAAGGATATTCTCACAAGTGGTATGTCCTTGGCTTTTTCTATGTGTACAATCTTGACAGTCTCTCCTCCCCACTGTGTGAGGGTCTCACATGGGCCATCGAGAGGGCTGAGGGGGTCTGGCTGCATCTCCTGCTCTGCCACACTGTCATGGGCCAGCATGAGAGCCTAAAGAGAGAGAAAGCAGACATGAAAAAGCTCATCCTTTACATTAAGGATGCTCATCCTTTACATTAAGGATGCTAAAAAGCTCATCCTTTATTAAATACATCAGTTAGTTGAGGAAACATACAGAATGGTGATCAGGGCTGGGGCATAAGGACACAGAGAGGAATACAGCTGGATCTCCACAACAGAAACAAGTGGAGTAGAAGTGCATAGAGATCGTCAGTGAAACTGACCTGCATGTGAGGGCTTTTCAGCAAGGTGCTAAGCTCTACTCCCTCCTTTTGCGCACTCTTGCGCAGCATGGTCTGGACCTAACAGGGAGATGACACCACAGCTAAGAAATGAATTGGTTTCAGAGAAACGTAGAAATCAAAGACCCCTGAATGTAGAACTGGTGATGAATAAGTTACAACACACAGAAAAAGTCACAAGTGATTAGGCAGATTTTACAACATAAATTTGCCTATCTTTCTGCGTCATGCCATGCCAACCTAACTGAGCTCTTACATTTTATATTAATCTCGTTTTATCTTTTTCTGTCATATTGTGAAGCAATACGCTGGAAGAAGCAATGCATTACCATGGTTCTTCCATGATGTGAAGCAAAGTAAAATCATTAAAACATGACCTTGAGTGGCTTACTGCTTTTTTGGCGAAAACTTGGCACATTAATACATGGTAAAAGTGGACAGTACTAGTCCTATGATTTGATTGGCTTAGCCTCTGCAAAACTGTTGTAAAACACTCAACAGACAAACACATATGACCTCCTCACAACAACTGAATTCTGTATAACAGCACCAAGCCAATAAAAAAAACATGCTATAATTCGAATAATCTTTAACTGTAATATTGCTCGTGAAGACCACCAAGTGTACTGATGAAGTAAGAACAGATTTTTGTTTAAACCAAGGGGCTGACAACTTATTTTCTACTAGGATTAGGCTGAGCTAACAGACTGAAAGATAACAGGCTGAACAACTCCTTCATAAATTAAAGAATTAATTAATTAGTTACTATATGTGTCACTGCTAAACTGCAATATAAAAGTATAAAGAATGTTACCTGAATGAGATTTAGCCCACCTTTAGTTGATGCTAACAGAAGACTGGAAATCACAGAGGTGCTCATGAAAATCAGTGTTGTCTGTCATGGTGGTAATTTGATGAGCAAAAACTACTTACAAAGCAAAGGGCTTTGAATTACACATAGCTATGTTATAATATGTTCTTTATTATTTGTCTAAAAATTAATGAAATGACTGCAGTATACAATATGGGTGATTGAATGTCCTTGTCCTCCTTCAGTAGTCCGTGGTTGCTTGGAAACAGTAACATACTCTGAACAGACTCATTTCTTGGCGGAAGAATTGTTGATAAAAAAATAATAATAATACAAATCTCAATTATTTATTTAGTTATTTATTGTATTTTATGATATTTTCGCCATTGTCTGTTGTTTTATAAAATCAATAAGCCACTAGGGCAGTGAAATACAGTGGCTTTATCACAAGTAAGGGGGTTACCCGTGACGCTTTGCACTGTGTCTAATAATACACTTACCCATGATGAAAACACGGTAATGCACTGCCTCTCACAGCTTACTGCTTTAATATAATTGGTGTCTGTGGTTATATGTGCATATATAAAGTGTTGTGTTGAACCTAAATCACATTTTAAACCAAAACTACTTTTTATATAACTACCAAGACAGAGCTCAAGAAGAGATTACAAAATACACCCACGTGTTAAAACAGCATCAGAATTGCATCTGTTGCAAGTGGCAAAGAAAATATCAGGAGATGACAGTTCAATTGGTGTTTGTTCCATTTGGAACTGCACCAGAGTTTGTTTGAAAGTGAACAGAGACTGACCTCAGCGGGGTATTGCAGCAGCGTTCTTTATTTTAACCAAACCTGCCAAGAGTTAACATGCCCTCAGAAGCAGGGATCAACCAATTATCAGCCCGACCGATAATCAGAGCCAATGTTCAGAATTTTGCCTATTAGCGGAATCGGCATTTGAACTCGTTTCCTTGACAGTAAAAAGCTCTTTTTGTTCTGTATGCACATTGTCTGACGCAACCACGATCAAAAAGTCTGCACTCTGGCCCAAAAGCCCGTCTGCTGTGTTACTGGTTTGGTTAAGTGGACGACTCCTCGAGTTCAACCAGATAGCACCAATCAGTCTGTCTCTGTGTCCCACCCCTTGTCGAGTAAATCCAATTAAAAATGCTTTTTGGTTTTGTGAGAGACACAGGAGGGAATGAAGAAGCGTTCCCATTTCTTCCACAGTGACAGGAAACAAACACATTTGGCAAAAAGCTCAGTGCACTTGGTAATTAATTTCACTCACTCTAGCCTTCACTCAATCAGAACTTACCATTTTATGTTTAATAAATAAGTTATACATAAATTCTATTTTCACTCATTAAAGGTACAGACAGCACCAGCATGCTAGCTCCAAAGATTTTACTGCTCTGCTTAAACTTAATGGGCCATTTCCATTGAATTATGCAGGTTCTTTTTTTAAGAGCCAATCAGAATACATCTGATACATTCAACATGGCCAACTACTGCTTGTAATCGCATAAAATACATTTTTGGCTGAACAACAAAATAAAATAAGCATGTTGACATTTATATACACTCACTTTATATCAAGGTAGTGACAGTTTTTACTACAATTGCTCAAATGCCTACTGTATTATTTTTACTGCAATACAATTACAGTTCTTTGTATTTGGTTAGTGTAGGCTTTATACAATTTTTAGCTTGTAACTAGTATTTCTTGCTTGCACTTACATACTGAAAAAGCTCCATTCCTGATGTGTGCCCTTAAACACTGTCAGTGACTCATGCTACACATTTGTTTTTCAAAAAACATGTAAATATATTTGTATGATTGAGCTCCATTTTTCTTACGTCACTGGCTATTAAACAGTTATTTTTGCAACTTATACTGTCTAAAGTTCAAAACACTTCATTCTTTCATTCGTGTACATTTTCACCCTACAAACATTACATTTATGCTAAATGAATATCAGCCCCAAATGTGGATTATCAGTGTCCCTGATTACTAATAATCGGCATCAACCAAAAAAAAAACAAAACAAAACATATTAGTTAACTCAGAAGTACTAAGCCACTAACATACGTACTTCAGAATAACCCGCCAAGCACCCAGTGTCAAGTTGTTCCTAGGATAAAGACTGGTGGCTCTGCAAACACTGTACATTCCTGTACAACAGATTTCTTTTTTCTGGTTGTATCAGTTTGCAAAATCTTGCTCTATTGATTTGTTTTATTCCATGCTATTAACACTGTTATAATAATAATGATAACAGAAATGTTACATTTATATAGAGCCTTTCACAATTCCAAGGTCATGCTACTTAACAAAGCACAAAAAAAAACAAACAAACAAACAAACAAAAAAACAACAACAACAACAACAGCTAACACTAAGCAGTAAAGGAGTCAAAGAGGTCAGGAGTTCTCTGAGGTAGAGGGAAGCAAGGTTATGCAGGGCTTTGAAAGTGAAGTAAAATTTTAAACGCTCAGTATGGGTGAGAACTCTAGCTGCAGAGTTCTGAATATACTGTAGCTTTTGTATAGACGTAAGTGAAAGAATGCAGTCTTAGTGAGGGACTTGATATGCAGATCAAAAGTGTTGAGTAAAACAACAAAATACCTTTCAACAGGAGCAGGCTTAACAAGCACACCATCAATACTAACAGAAAAACTGAATGATTTTGATAGTAAAGATGTAGGTAGATATTAGATTACAAATAGTTATTAGGGCAATAGTATAGATAATATTAGGGTTACGTACAAATGTCTAGACCCTAGGCAAAAAAGAAAGAGCTCTTGGTTGTGACATTTTATGGTGGCCCGTACGGGGACCAAGTGATGTGCCTGAAAGACCTCTCCGTTATCAGCACCAGCACGACAAGGGACAGCCAAAGTATAACTCTGTGAAAAAAGGTCTGCCCACAGCGCGCGCATACTGAAGTAAGCAAACACCTATTCTGAAGCTCTGCTCTAGAAGTGGGAACAGGCTTTATTCACTAGGTTATTTGAAAATGGTCATCAAATTTGTGACTGTAATTTGATGTATAGGATGCAGAAGGCTGCAGACTGAGTGTGGAAAGAGGAAAATGTAAAGAAAAAGAACATTTTTAAAATAAGGAGCAATAGTTAGAAAACAACCAGTGACAAAAAATGAAAATAATTCTATGAACATCCATAAAAATGAAAATAATTAATGAACTCAAAAAAAATTTAAATAATCTTATGAAAATGTAAAAAATGAAAACAATCATGAGAAAAACACCAGTTGCCAAAAAACATAGTTGAGAGAAAAAAAGCACGCAAATAAGAGCAAAGAGAGAAATAATAAGAGAAAAGAGAGAAATAATAAGAGAAAAGAGAAAAAGAAGAAGCAACGTAAAGCATGCCAAAAAAGAGATGTGTTAAGTGTTTGTGTAATTTTGTCTAAATGAGTGGCCACAAATGTCGAAGGGTTAGGGAATAAAATATTAGTTATATTACAACGTTGAGAAATTTTGAGTGAGTTGTAATTAGGGTTACAACAGGAATGAGAGCAGGAGTTAAAGGTCACTGGATATTAATAAAAGAAATGAGAATATATCTTTTTGGGAGACGTATTATATCGGTTGAAACACATTTGTTACAAGCAGTGGTGGACGAAGTACACAAATCATGTACTTGAGTACCCAAGGTAAAATATTACTCCAGTAAAAGCAGAAGTCCTCCTTTTAGACCTCCACTTGAGTAAAATTGCAAAAGCATTTGCCTTCAAATGTTCTTAAGTAGCGAAAGTAAAAATATTAAAAGATTAATTAATGCAACTTAGTTACAAGTTTAACTTTAATAAAAACTAATAAACTTTAAACACAGGTTCACAAACGCGTTTTCCTTTACTATACTGCATCTGTAGATCTTTGTTCATAAACACAAATTTACTATGAAATGAAATAATGTTTGTATAAATTCAGAAAAAAGACACATGCCAGTCACAACTGCATGTGTGTACATATTTCTATATTGTGGTCTATTTACACAAAGTTAGGTTAGTTCCAACATTTATGTTGGCATAGGCACACCCAAAATTTTACGCTGCTGCACTGGCGTTGAACCGTATGCTTGCACTGGGTAAGTATGTCCAACAAGTCAAAAAAAGCTCAAAACAAGGTGGCGCTGTACCCTGATTGGTGTGCGTGCTTCACGCTTCTTTCGTTTTGACGTTACGTTTTTATACAAACATAAGCGAAAAGGAATGACAGATTT